CTAGTCGGAGGGGGAGGTCGATTGAGACGGGTAGGTGATCTCTGTGCCATCTGCTCTTGTGTAGCTGCAGTCTCTTGCCTATGGCTCGTAGTGTGGCACATTTACTGGATATGGTGCGGGCACCTGTCGGCAGTAGTATGTGGTCGATTCTGGTCTCCTGTCCCTGGAACCCGTAGTAAGTGGGCCCAATACTAGTGAAGGTTGTCGCTATGCTCATGCTATTCCTCTCGCAGAACCTGCGCACTTCTTTACCGTTATCATTTTCCAGCCTCGGGTCGCAGGGTCCTACGTGTCGGCCTTCACTTGATTGTACTATACCGTCAGGTGCTCTGTGCAGTCCAAAGTCACTGTTGAGATCCCCCCCTACTATTGGAGTAGTACGGGCGCCCAATTTGTCTATCTCACTCTCAGTCCAACTCATGATTCTGTTGGCAATAGTAGCGTATTCTTTGTAGTGCGTCGGCGCCAGGTAGAGAGCAAACACTGCAATGTCTACCTCGGATGTCTGTAATCGTATGCCCGCTGCTCGTCCCTGTATCTGTGCTGGCGGACTACTTGTACTGCGCAAACTCTCGGGCGGGAGCCTTTTCGAGACAAGAATTGACACTCCACATGCTTTGGCTACCCATTTTCCTTTTTTTGCTCCAAACCTGAGTGCCCAGTGTTGTGGTAGTTCTGTTTTCTTCACGCTCTCTGGTCCCGCCCACTCGTACGTCCCGCTGAGAATAATAATGTCCCAGTCTCTCAGAGCGACGCTTATGTCCTCTAATCTTTCGCTGCCGCTAGCTGAGTATGGATTGTACGTCACAATGCGCATGGTCGTCGCCGCTGCTGTCGTCGTCACTAGGGGCGAGAAGTCTCTACCATGGCGCAGGCGGCGGTCCCCCCTCAACACCCTCTGGCCTAGGTGCTGTTGGGGGCCCTCGAAAGTCGGCGGGCGCTCTGTGCGTGTGGGCTCGGTCGGAAATAAATTCTTAAGCCCCTCGCGCCGACTAGGAGGAGGAGGAGGAGGAGGAGGAGGTGAGGAGGGGGGGGGTGGACGTGGCCAGGGAGAGAGGGGGGGGGGCAAGGGGCGACGCACTGGAGGTGCAATTGTTCCGCAGTCTCAACGTTAACCGCCCGCCGTGTTACCCAGATCCCGTCGCGTGGAGAAAAATGACGACGGACGGTTTGTTGCCATGTTCTGCCTCTTGGGGCCCAGGGCCGTCAAAAGACTACTCAGGGTGAGGTCAAAAGCCAGCCCCCAGGAAGTGGTCCAAACCTCTGGGGGTCACCTGAATTACCAAGAGAAAAATAGAAACAGGAGAGAAACCCTAAGCAGAGGATGGTTTGGCAACTGGTGAAATGGATATTGAGATCGGTTGTGAGGTTGATAGTGAGATCGATAGTGGGATCGACAGTGAGGACGGTAGCAGGGTCGATCGTGAGACAGATAGTGAGTTCGATTGAAAGAGATCGATGGTGAGATCGATCGTGACATCGCTCGTGCGATCTATAGGGATATCGATAGCGAGATCGACTGTGAGATCGATCATGAGATCGATAAGCAAGTGGGTAATGAGATCGATGGTAAGACCGATCGATGAAGAGATCGACCAAGAGCCTGGAAACCCGGAAAACCGGGATTCCCGCCGCTATAGCCGAAATCGCTACGGAACCAACAACAAGGAACCGGGGAACTGGGGAACAATTGACCCAACCGCCTACCGAAATCGGCCGGGCACTTTCGCCAAATCTTTCAACATCCGTTAGGACCCCTTCAATGCAAATGATTGGGGAAACATGGCGTCGGAGGTCGTGGTGCTCTGCCGCTTCTTGTTGTGCTTCTCTTGCCCAGGCACAATGTACGGTTGCGCGCCCTCTTGTTGGCCCGCCGACTTACGTAAGATTATGAATTTGCCCTAGTAGGAGCCGAAAATACTCAGAAGCAGCAGCTGTGTAGCCAATGTCCGTGCAACCTACAACTGGAGGGGCGGAGGGACGGGGAAGGGAGGGAGGAGGAGGGGGGATACGCCAGGATCGTCCAGGAGAAGGAGGGTGGCGGTGGTGGTCACTGATCATTGAGACGAGGCGCACAGACGATCCTCACCGAAGCACGGATTTGGGAAATGGCACACCGTGCATGTTCGGTTAAACAGCGTATCGAAGCGTGTGAAGGGTGTGCCGACGTGGGGCGAGGCCGCCATGCGGGCGCTGACACCGGGGCCTCGGGCCTGCGGTAGAACCCCCATAGGAGGAGGAGGAGGAGGAGGAGGAGGAGGACGAGGAGGAGGAGGAGGAGGAGGAGGAGGAGGAGGAGGAGGAGGAGGAGGGTGTGAGGGGTGTGCCGCAGTGGGGCGGGGCCGCTCTGCGAACGTCTCCACTGGGGCCTCAGGTGGAGCTCCCTATTGGGGCCACGAAAAGTGTGTGAGGGGCGTGCCGAAACGAGCGTGACGCCAACATCCGAACTTCGCCGCTGGGGCCTTCGGTGGAGCCCCCTTATGGGGCTACGAAACGTTTGAGAGGTGTGCCGAAGCGGACGTGATGCCCAAATGCGAAGGACGCCACTGAGGCCTCACGTGGAGCTCCCTCTGTGGCCATGAAGCGCGCTAGGGGTGTGCCGATATGGGCGGGGCGGCCACATGCGAAACTGGCAACTGGGGCCTGGCCGTAGGTGGAGCTTCCTATGGGGCCAGGAAGCGCGTTAGGGGTATGCCGAAAAGGGTAGTTCGGCCACATGCGAACATGGCCACTGGGGCCTGAAGTAGCTGGGACCATGAAACGTGTGAAGGCTGTGCCACCATGGGCGGCGCGGCCACATGCGAACATGGGCACTGGGACCTTAGGTGGGAGCTCCCTATGTGGGCAGGAGGCGTGCGAAGGCTGTGCCAACATGGGTGGGGCGGCCACGTGCGAGCTTGGCCGCCGGGGCCTCGGCATGCGGAGGGCAATGGGGGCAGGGATGGGAGCTGGATGGCCGGGGCAAAACCACAGAACCTCGGATGTCTGGGGGGGATTAGCAGGATTAGCAGCATTGGCGCAACCAGACTCCATGAGCGCAGGGAAGCCCAAACACTGGGCAGCCTTAGGCGTCGAGCCTGGGCCGCAGGAGGACGGGGGGAGCGAGCCGACAGGGGAGGGGCAGGGAGGGGGGCAGACCCTGCCCCTCCCCCCCCCCGGAGTCGCCTCACGTCTGGGCCGTCGCCGCCGCCGCCGCCGTCGCTGGCCGCCATCGCGGTCGTCGCCGCGTCGCCTTCGCCGCCGCCGTCGCCGCCGGCGTCGCGGTCGTGATCGCGGTCGCGCGGCCGTCGCGGTCGTGGGTACATGCCCCCCTCCTCCCCTCCCGTCTTGAGGGAGAGGAAAAGCATGAGAAGGAGGGATGGGAGGAGGACGAGAGGGAAGGAGAAGGGAGGGAGGGACCCGGAAGGGACCAGGAAGAAGAGAGGGAGGAGGGAGGCACGGAGGGAAGCACCTGAGTTAGGTCCGGCAATTGCGACTACAGGAGGTCCACGACCACTTGGGGCCACAAAACCCAAACCAGAAAAAACATCAGGCAATCTTGAAACCAAAACCTGGGGAGGTCGACATCATGAAAAAACTCAAACACCAAACCTGCGAAAAACTCAAACCCACAAAGTACTTGAAACAAAAGCTGAGACTCAAACCTGGGAACAACTCAAACCAAACAAAAACTCCAACCAAAAACTCTAAACCGAAACCTGGGAAAACCTGTGAAAAACAACTCTCGGAAAACTCTGGAAAAACTCTGGAACAACTTTAAACAACTTCTAAAAAAGCTCTAGAACAGCTCTAGAAAAAAAAACTCTGGAAAAACTAGAATCGATTGAACACTTGAAGAAAACTCTGGAAACAAACTATTAAAAACAAACTCTGATCGCTTGAAACCTCTAAAACAAAGCTGTAAAAACAAATCTGGGAAAACTCAAAAAAAAAAACAACTATGGAACAACTCTAAACAAACTGGAAAAACAACCTTCCGGGTTTGAGTTTTTTTTCCAGGTTTGAGCTTCAGGTTGTTTCTAGGTTTTCTGTGGGTTTGAGTTTCTCCCAGGTTTCGGGTTCAAGATTTTCTGTAGTTTCTTCTGTGTTTGAATTTTCCTCAGGTTTTGTGTTTCAGATTTTCTCAGGTTGTCTTGGATTTTGAATTTCTCATTCAAGATTTTTTGATTTGTTTTTGGAGTTTGAGTTCCCAGCCGAAGAAGTTTTGAAGATTTCGGCAGGTCTTCCTATGGACCGCCTGTAGTCAATTGCCGAACCTGACACCTGAGGGACAAGGCCAAAGAAAGAAAGATGCTGCCCCTCAGGCCTCCGCCGGCATGATTGCACGTGGGACCTGGCTCGAACCCATCCCAAAATTACGCATACCGCCACTCCCCCGACCGTGCCGGCACCGCCACTCCCTGGACCTCTCCAGGGGTGCGTTCCGACCAACATCTCGCGGCGAATCCAGCAGCGGCGGCGAGGGCCACCCAGGAGGCCCGAACAGGCTGGCGACACGCTATGCCTTGCGAGCGGAGTGTGCGAAGCGGGGATCTATCCATGTCCACCGCCTGGGAACCGACGTCCTGGTGCCCCGGCGGGCGGTGGATATGGATATATGTTGGCCCCGGTGGGCCCGAAACTATCCACATCCACCGCCTGTGGAGGTCCGCGAAGATCGACCCCCCAGGTGGTGGTTATGGATAAATTCCCGCATCGGAGATAGCGCGTCGCTCCGCTCCGCGGGGCGGGAACTCGGAAAGGCTTGAGACGCCGACGTCTGGGGACTGGGAGGCGTGCCGCGTGCCGCGCCGAAGCGCGGTGGGCCAAAACCGGCGGCGCGCCACGCTGGCCCGAAGCTCCCGACCGCCTTCCGTGCGCGCTGCATCGCGGTTGCAGACGAGTGCGTTCCACTACTCGCAAAGTAGCTGCTCGCATATGGCCTGGATCCGCCGCGGGGGAGCGGGCACTCTGCGAGCAGTTGAACGCGCTCGGTGAGTTTGCGGCCGTCCCCGGAGGGCCGAGGTCGGTCCCCGCGGCGGCCCGCAGCGAGGGCAGGCCTGCCCGCACGGCACAGGGAGCGGAGTGGCGCCTGCACAGGCGCTGCTCCGCTCCCTGCGCCGCCGGGCTGCAGCTGGCAGAGCCGCCGGTCTGCACCTTCGACAGGTCCAGCGCCGGCATCGAGACCACGGCGGAGGAGGCGTCGTCCGCCGCGCCGCCCTTCGTTCGGGAGGGGAAAAACCCACAGACACAACTGGCCGTCGATTCCCAGGGAGAGATGGGAAAACATGGAAGCGGGGGGGGGAAGGCGAAAACCCAGACAGTAGAAGAAAATAGGAAGGGACCTGGGATTTGTGTGTACTTATCTGTGTGTCCCTGGCCCCCTTCACTCGTGTGGGACGCACAGAGGCATACTACTACTACTACTACTACTACTACTACTACTACTACGACTACTACTACTACTACTACTACTACTACTACTACTACTACTACTACTACTACTACTACTACGACTACGACTACGACTACGACTACGACTACGACTACTACTACTTCTACTACTACTACTACTACTGCTACTA